GGGGTTTAGTCCACTTTTGTATCCTTCCCTTCAAGGCTCAGGGGTCCAAGATTATCTTCTGTGTCTGTGTTAATTGGTTTCCCTTTTCTTTGTTGAAGAGCGTCTGTGCAGTCCTTGTGCCTAGTCTGCCATCTTGCCGGAACTCCTCCTGTGTCAATTCATCTTGTTGAAGGTCTTCCCATTTTTCACTGATCCTCCACTTTACCAAACATGATATCCTTGTCCATGGAGTGGCCCCTTCTGACAACATGCCCAAAGTAGGTGAGACGAAGTCTGGCCATTCTCACTTCCAAGGACCATTCTGGCTGCACTTCTTCCAGGACGGATTTGTTTGTTCTTCTGGTTGTCCATGGTACTTTAAGTATTCTTCTCCAGCACCACAACTCTTCTTTGGTGTTCCTTCTTCATTTTCCAGCTTTCACATACATATGAGGCAATTGAAAATACCATGGCTTGGGTTCGGTGCACCTTAGTCTTCAAGGAGATATCTTTGCTCTTCAGGACTTTAAAGAGGTCTTTTGCAAGTTACTTAAGCACTACTTAATATTTCATTTTGAATGATATTTAATCTATGAATTTAATAACTTTTAAGAAGTGAATCAACTGTTTTTCGTTAAAATAATGTTATTAGTGGAAGTAATCCCAAACTTACACTATATACTAATGAATCTTGGGAAGAAAGGGTTAGGGATATTGAAATCCCTTTGTGATATGGAAGCAGCCAGTCTCCCCTTTTTAGGAGATAGAATTGCAAAGTTGTAGCCCTGTTCTTCTCATCAGGTTACTAGTTTGTTGCCTAGGCAACAAGGAATCTTTTTGGTCGAACAGTACTGTGAAGTACTTTGGAGTCAGACACAGTTAGAGTTTAAAAACAGTTTTACCATAACAGGTTAATTATTTAATCTTTCTGAGCCTCAGTTTCCCTATTTGTTGAACAGGAATAATAGCTTCTTTTTAGAAGCTATGCAAATTAAACACATTGATGTAATACATCTGGCACAGGCTAGATACTCATTGTAAGTAATTGAGTGTTTGTTTAAAACATTCATATTGTGTTTGGTCAGAATAATAGTAGTTAGCAATTATTGAGTGCCTATGGTGTGCTAACCAGAATTATAAGCAATTTCACATGGATTATTTTACTTATTCTTCACAAAACTATTGGAGGTAGATATTATAGCCCCATTTATGAAGACACTGATGCAGAAAGGTTAAATAACTTGTATGGGACTATATGTAAGGAAGTAATTAGGAATTACTGCTCTGGATTATATGTTTTATATCTTTTTCAATGTTGTTGTGTTGTTGTTATGTGCCATCAAGTCAGACCCGACTCATAGCAACCCCTCCTTGGGTTTCCAAGGCAGTGTTACTAGGGACGTAGATTGCACCATCTTCCTTCCAATAGTGAAGACTATTTTTTTATGACATCAGAAATAAAGGCAAACAATATATTCAAAAACTTTTATTTTTCTTAAATTTGTTGAACCGTTCATGTCATTATCTTAAGGGAATCTTTCCCTTAACTGAGGGTTACCATTTGGGTAAAGCCCTTCCTGTTTAGGACAAAACATTAATAATGGTAAAAGAGTAACTTCCCAGTCTTCTTGTATAGCATAAATTTTGGTACCATATTTGAAATTGTTTATTTGGTTTCCATAGGGCCGTAATCTGGCAGATCTACGTCGTAGTCAGTCCCGGGGCACATTCACCATTAGCACTACTCTTCGGCTGGGCAAACAGATTCTGGAATCAATTGAAAGCATCCATTCTGTGGGATTCTTGCACCGAGACATCAAACCGGTAAGGGTTTTTTCCCAGGATATGCACAGAATGTGTTTGTTAGATGCTCTTAATGTTGTGATGAGACACAGTACATTACAAATATAGTTCTTTGTGTTTGCTGTGATTAAATGCAAAGTAATAGTTTTATTTCTTTTGAGACTTGGATGCAAAAATTAATTTTTCTTTTTTATTAAGTGATAATTACAAGGTGTAACTTGTTTTTAACAGCTTTTCTTATACAATGAAAATGTTGCTCAATAGCCAAATTAAAAATAGTTAATGCTTAACATTGGTGATTACTGTTAACATTGTTAATGACTTCTTAGCCTTATACTTAAATTGGTAGCTATTCTTTGGGTACTTTTTTCCGGACACTGGTTTTTTTTAAAAAAAAAAAAATCTATATTTGTATGTATTTTTAGATTGCTTTTAGATGTTGACAATATATTCTTTGGACTATTTCTAATGTGACAAATTGTACTCAATAAGAAATTATTAATTGTAAAAGATCTTATTTTTCTCCTGAGTGATAATGTGGTGATACTGTATTTTTTTCTGTTCTGTTTTTCTTAGAAATTCTAATTTCCACAACTGTAAAATATGTTTCTTTGTTTTTAATTTTTGTTTTATAGCTCACAAGGGAAAATGGCTCACTTCTGATATCCTATTCTTGGTGTAAATTTGTCATATGTTGGTGTAGTTGAAAATTATAGCCATATGTTGCTACATTATTTCTAAAATTAAGTAGCATTAAAATGCTAGTTAAAATTAACATACTAGAGCCAAATTTAAAGTGATGTAACATTTCTTCTACAATTTTTCTTATTTTTATGCCAAACTAAATGTTATAATTTGAGAACCATGATGAACTGAAATTTTCATTTTCATCAGAAAAGTCCTTAAATAACACAGTATTTTTAAATAAAAAACTAACAATTCTGTAACAATTTGGCTTTTGCCTTTGCAAATTCCCTTGCTTGTATACCCATCTTCACAAATTTGTAGTCATTTAATGTTACATTTATTTTTATTAAGGGCAAAATGCAAAAATATATTTTTCTTAAGTCCAATTTAAGGTGTTTCTTTAAATTGAATTTTAATTTTTCCAATTTAGTGAAACTCAGTTTTATGATGCTTTTTAGGAAATTCTTAAACTTCTGAACTATGTATATTTTTACCCACCCTTAATTCCTCCTATTTTAAAAAGTAGAAATTGGATTGTCATTTAAACAGTGACTTAGTCTAGAAATTTTAAGGCACTTAGAGTTCTGATCCTAATTAAATCAATATTGTGTGTAACTTTATACAATTACTTGAATTACTTGTTCAGTTTTCTCTTTCAAAATGAGGCTGAGACCAGCTGCTTTTCAAAGTAACTAATAATTAATTATCTTAAAATTAGACCTAATATGGACAATGTACAAATGTGTTAGAATAAAGGTTTTTTTTAAGTTCATCTGTTGCTGTTGTTGTTATGTGCCGTCGAGTCGGACCCGACCCATAGCGACCCCTCCTTGGGTTTCCGAGGCAGTATCGCTACGGAAGTAGATTGCCCCATCTTCCTTCCGAGGAGTGGCTGGTGGGTTTGAACCGCCAGCCTTCTGGTTAGCAGTCAAGTGCCTTAGGCACTATCCTACCAGAGCTCCTAGGCATTAGTAAAAACCTTCCAAAAACCAAACCCATTGCTGTCGAGTTGATTCTGATTCATAGTGACAGGGCATAGTAGAACTACCACCACAGGGTTTCCAAGGCTATAATCTTTATGGAAGCAGACAGCCATATCTTTTTCCATGGAGCAGCTGGTAGGTACAAACCTCTGACCTTTCCATTAGCAACCAAGTGTTTAACCATTGTGCCACCAGGGCTCCTTAGGCATTAATGGAACCCATGATTGAATTATATATTAATACCCAGGAAGCATCATTGAATAGAATACTGTATTTGTAACATGTTGTGTAGAGTTTAAATAAAAAGTAGAATTAAATAAAGGATAATGTGCAAGGACTAAGTGTTACAAGAATATGTTTTTCTTCTTTACTTTTCTAGTCGAATTTTGCCATGGGTCGCTTTCCTAGTACATGTAGGAAATGTTATATGCTTGATTTCGGCTTGGCTCGACAATTTACCAATTCCTGTGGTGACGTCAGACCAGTAAGATTTTTCATGTTATTAAATACTTTAGAATTAATCTATTATTAACAGTGTTACTCTTACGAAATGCTCATGTATCAGGATTGCTTGAATAATTTCTTTTAGAAAGATCATCATAAGGCCAGTCCCTATGAGGTGGAAGTTAAAGATGTCCCAAATATTCAGTTTTTCCAAACTGCCATGTCATTCCATCATCTCTGACATCAACTCCTTGTCCTCCCCTCAGTAATATCCCTCCTGTCTTAGGGTTCTGTGTTTCTCTCTAACGTCTCATAGAACTCACAAACTCCCAAGGAGACAGCTCACATGGTGATGGTGGAGGAGGCTGGGAGGCTGCCAGGCTGTCAAGTCCCAGGTCTGTGGGTATGTCTGGAGGATTCTGTCAACTGATATGGTTGCAGGGGTTGGTGAACCCAAATTGGTGGGTCAGATGACAGCTGCTGTCTCCAGTCCAGGGGTGAGATAATGAAGAACCAAACACAGAACAAGACCAAGAAAGTGAACTTTCCCAAAACATTCACATATACACCCTCAAAGAAGCTGAGGGTGGTGACTTGAGTCATACCCTCCAGCAAGGCAGGACTCAAGATGCATCCTACCCTAAACAGGCATGCAGACTAGGATTTAACAATACATCACAAAATGGAAGACAATGGCTAGAAGGACCATATTAAGTCAGTCACTACACTGCAAGGATGGATGTCATATAAGAAGTAGCATATAAATTTCATGGTTATAGAATGAAGTTAATGAATTTTATTATGAAATTGTGGCATTATAAAAGAACGTCAGAGGCAGATTCAGAGTGGTCTTGTAGGAGGAGACATACTAGCCCTTAGGGTAAAGAGTCATTTTGCAGTCTGAGGCCCTTCTTACATGATATAATTTTTCTAATGTTTACTTTTTACTCTTAGTTTTGTTTTAAATTGGTTACTGATTGTGATTTTCATTCCTAGCAGATCAGTTCCACAAAAGTTTTAACACTGATTTTTTAATGAGCTAACCATGTATGTGTATATATGTGTATGTGTATATATATATAGTGTGTGTGTATGTGTGTGTGTGTGTGTGTGTATATATATATATATATATGTATGTATATATATAAAATATTTAAAATTAACCACATGAGCATTTATGTGCCTAGAAATTACAGGAGACTCCCTTTGGTCCTAGTGATGTTCTGGTATTAATTAGTAGCCAGGCAAGTAAAGAATTTAGTTTCTATGTAGTTTATTGGATTTGAATGTATTTATGGAATCCTATTTCTATTCCAAATATCTGTTTTTCAGTTTTTGGAACATTTTTTTTTTTTTTTAAAATCACCCTGGCTACTATGTGAAGAAGAGACTTTGAAAACATGAGTGGAATCAAAGAGAAAAGTTAGAAGACTAATGTGTCATGGTCCAGGGATGATTGATGGTGACTGGAACCCTAGGGCATTAGGGCAGAACAGTGAAGATGGTGAGGAGTGGTTACATTAAATACATTCAACAACACTTGCTTATGCATTGAAAGTGGGATATAAGGGAATGATAGGACTCAAGAATGATTTCTAGGTATTTGTCCTTAATGAATGGTCATGCCATTAACCACGTTAGAGAAAAGGATGAGGAAAAGGAATGGAGAGGGAAAATTAAAAGTTTCATTTTCGACAAGTTAAGTTTGACATGCCTCTTAGATTCTAGATAGTATAAAATAACATAGAAGTGGTTAGATAAACTAATCTGAAGTTCATCAGAGAAATTGGGGCTGGAGGTATTGTAAATTTGGAAATATTTACTTATAAATGCTATATATTTTTTTTAAATGGAACTGTATGAGATACCTAGGGAAATGGTATGTTGTTGTTGTTATGAGCCGTCGAGTCGGACCCGACGCATAGTGACCGCTCCTTGGGTTTCCGAGGCAGTATCTCTACGGAAGTAGATTGCCCCATCTTGCTTCCGAGGAGTGGCTGGTGTGTTTGAACCACCAGCCTTCTGGTTAGCAGTCAAGTGCCTTTAGCCACTATGCTACCAGAGCTCCCAGAGAAATGGTATAGCTATCCAAGAAAAGAGGTCCTGAGTCTGAGCCATTAGGACTATTCAGCAACTTGATGAAGGTTAGACAGGGACTATTAGTCAGATAAGAAGACCGAGAAGGAATAGCAGCCAATGAGGTAAAAAGAAAATGTTATCTTAGAAGCCAAGTGAAGAAAGTGCTTCAAGAAGGGGTTTGGGATTATCAACTGTGATAGATGCTGCTGAGAAGTCGATTAAAGTAAAAACAGAACTGACCAGTTTTATTTGGCAAGGTTGAGGTTATTCATGACTTTTATAGTAGTTCGGTGAAGCCATAAAATCCTGATTAAAATGGTTAGTAGAGAAAGAGAGTATACACAACTCTAGCAATTTGCTTTGCTCTTAAGAGGAATGCTGAAATGGGAAGTTGTTGAAAAGGAAGTAAAATATTTCTTCATTTCCTTCCTCCCTTGCCCCCTCCTTTCCTTCCTTCTTTCCTTCCTTCTCCCCCCACCTTTTTTCCAATGATGGCAGTTATTATAGCCTGCTTGTGTATTGATGATTAATCCTCCATGAGAGATGAAAAATTGATGACATAGGGCAGACAGGAACATTTATAGGAGTCAAGTCCTTGCACAGCTGACAGGGAAAGGAATCCAAAGTACAAATGGAAAGGTTAGTCTATTAGATTAGAGCAGGAACACTTCTTCCATTATAAATGAGAGAAGGCAGAATATGTGGACACAAATACAGTTAGACAGTTAGATTTGGTAGTGGAAGTTGAGGAAGGTCTCCCTGGGCTTCTATTTTCTCAGTGAAAAAAGAGGCAGGCCTCTCTCCTTTTTCTTTAATTGTGATTTGGGTGAAAGTTTAAGAGTAAATTCATTTTCCATGCACTGGTTCATACACATTTTGTTTCATGACATTGATTGCAATCCCCATCATGTAACAGCTCTCTTCCTAGTTTTCTTCCCTGTGGTTACCTTTTCCCCATGACTTTCTTTCCTATACATTCCTGCCTTCTGAGGAATCTTGCTATGCAAATACTACCCTTTTGATTTCCCATGGTTGATTGTTCTAAGGAGTTTACCTACTTGGTGTAAATGTTCACCTTATACTCCTGTATATTATTTGGCTGGAAGCCACAGGAGTGAGTTCAATTCCAGGCCCAAAAGGTGCCTGCAGCCATGCTCTCAGGGGTTTCACTGGTCTCTACCAGACCAGTAAGCCTGGTCTTTTTTTATGATTTTGAATATTGTTCCACATTTTTCTCCCACTTTATCGAGGAGCTACTGTTTTGCTCCCTTTCCAAGTGATTAACAGTGTTAGCCAGGCACCGTCTATGTCTTCTGGTCTCAGGGTCATGTAGGCTGAGGTTCACATGGTCCGCTAGTTCCTTGGGCTAATTGTTTCCACATGTCTTTGGTTTTCTTCATTCTTCTTTGCTGTGGATGAGGAGAGACCAATTATTGCATCATCAATGGCCACTTTCTTTTTTATTTTTTTAAATATACTTTATTGAAATATAATTTATGTACAGTGAAATAAACAAAAATAAAGTGAGATAGCTCAATGCATTTTTTTTTTTTTTTTCAGTGTTCCCTCCCCTCCACTCCCACCTCTGGTAACCAACAAAGAAAGTTTCCTTCCATATATATAAGCCTTTCCTTGACTTTTTACAATAATGAACTAATACTATATTTGTCCTTCTGTGATTGACTTATTTCACTCAGCATAATATCCTCCAAGTTCATCCACATTATGTGGTGTTTTGCAGATTCTATGTTCATTATTCTTTAGTGTTGCATAGTATTCCAGTTGTGAGTATGTACCATAGTTTGGTTATCCATTCTTCTGTTGATGGGCACCTAAGTTATTTCCATGTTTTTGCTATTGTAAATAATGCTGTGATAAATATGGGTGTGCATATATCTGTTATTATCCTGGCTCTCACTTCTTTAGGATATATACCTAGTAATGGTATTGCTGGGTCAAATGGTATTTCTAATTCCAGCTCTTAAAGGAATTGCCATACTGGTTTCCACAGTGGTTGTATCATTTTACAGTCCTACCAGCAGTGTATGAGAGTCCCAATCTCTCTACATCCTTGCCAGCATTTGTTATTTTCTGTCTTGTTGAACTTTGCCATTAGTGCTCTGGTTAGATGGGATCTCATTGTTGTTTTGATTTACATCTCTCTGATGGCTAGTGATATTGAGCATTTCTTCAAGTATCTGCTGCCCGTCTGAATATCCTTTTTGGTGAAATGTTTATTCATGTCTTCTGTGCATTTTTTAATTGGATTGTTAATCGTTTTGTTGTTGAGATGTTGGAGTCTTCTATAAATTTTAGAGAAAGGTCCCTTGTCAGATATGTTGTTGCCAAATATTTTTTCCCATTCTGTAGGTTCTCTTTTTACTCTTCTGACAGTGCAATTATTGACAACTATGAATTTGTTGCTGTCATTTTGTTATGTGCTTTTTCATGGTGTTACTGATTTCTTTGTTGCATGTAATTTTCTCTGCTGAGCTCATTTTGTTTATGAATTGTGTTATCACAATATCTATTGTTTTAGTATTTGTTAAATATTTGTGCTGGTCCTCTTTTTTATTTTGATGTTAAGGTTATCATTTTCCTTTGAGGTTACCCTATGATTTATACTTTTCTTGCCATGTTTAGAATAGTCCATTCTGTCTTGCAGTTGTCTTGACTTTCCTACCATTTAGAAGTTCTGTGACTACACAGTTTTTTCCCTCTTTTTGGTTTGAAGTTGTCTTCATTTGTCAATTGATGTCTCTGGTTCCGTGTTTACAACCTTGTAGGTTTATTCACTTTGGATACTTCCATAATAACTGGGTTGGTTTCTGGGTTATGTCATCATGTGTGTTAATGGTCAATTGTTGTTTGCTGTTGTTGGTTCTCTATCCGAAGGACTCCCTTTATCATCTCTTGTAAGGTTGGTCTGGTTTTAATAAAATTCCCTTAATTTCAGATTAT